CACTTTTAACTCTCTAAAACTGAAAACTCATGGCAAATCTGCTGCTGACTGCCTCTGGCATCACTGAGACCAATAAAAACTATGCCACAGATATGGGGAAGGACCCTCTTACCCTTAAAGGCAATAGCCCAGACCCAGTTCTCTTATGGGGCTGAGGACTGATATGCCTGTTTGATACCACAAAAGGTACAGCTAATTGGCTACAAATAAGATTAATGAAATAAATAGACATCTCCACAAAGGCAGGCCCAGCCATAAATAAAATGAATAACAATTTACATCCAGGGAAGAGAAATCTCCCTGAGAATTCCCTTCTTTTTCCTTTCCAGGTAAAAATGAATCACTCATGATGTCTGCTGTTAGAAGTTCTAATCCAGATGCTGGCCTCCAAACTTATACTACTCAGACCTTCTAAGTGCCATTGACAAGAACGTCTAACAGCTAGAGATTGACATCACTAATCTGAAGAAATCCCTCGTTTCGCTGTCTGAAGATACCTCCTAAAATCGCAAAGATCCTTATTGGACTTGATTTACTCTATTATAATAGAAAAGGCTGTGTACAGCTCTTGACTGTGTACAGCCCTTAAAGAAGAATTTTGCCTTCACATAGACAAGACAGGGATGGTTAAAGAGAGCATGAATAAGGTCAGAGAAGGCCCTGAGAAAAGTCAGAGAGAGAAAGAGAAAGGTGAGTGCTGGTACAAGAATTGGTTTTCAACCTCTCCAGGGTTGTCAACCCTACCTCCTCTTATCTTGGGACCATTATTTGGGTTCTTTTTGCTTATTTCTTCTGGTCCCTGGGCCTCAAATAGGCTGACTAACTCTGTGAAACAACAGATAAATAATTTCGTAGCAAAACCTATTCAGATACATTATCATAAGTTAGCTATGGTGGACCACGAGACTCAAGATGAGGTTGTTACTTTATCCAGAGTGTTCCCAAAACCCATCTCCACCCAACCTAAAAGAGGGTACTTCCACCTCTAGACCAGGCAGAGAGGGGCCACCCAGAACCCCCTCTGACAGGCGACCTGAATTCTTGCTTAGGCTGCGAGGCTAAGCACTGCAAGGAAATATCAATAAAAGTTAAAAATATCTCACTGGGTTCCCTGAGGGACAAGCCTGACTGCATAGGGGTTGATGTCAAAAGTATCCCCTCTCCAGGAAAAAGACATCAGGATGGGTATGGCCCTCATGCCTCACTGGACAACAACAGGGGGACCAGAGCCATTACAAGGTCCCCTTGAATTACTGGAGGTCAGGCCTCTATCCCCGCCACAGTCCATCTATACTTAGAGAAGGGAAGAGATGTCAGGGACATCCCTGCTTACGCACTAAAGGCCTAAAATCAGCCATAGGCCTAAAATCAGCAATAGGCCTGTCATACATGTATACTAACACCAAGTCTTGGGTCTCTGTGGATAAACACTGAAACAGATGGCTATAAGCTATTGTAAACAGGCAGTTTTTGTGACATTTTACCAGCCTGAGTAGTCATAGACCTTGTAAATAGGTAGCCTTGGCAGATATTACCAACTTAGATAAGGACAAGTGAATCATAGGCAGAGTCATAGTGATCTATCCCCTGAACCCTCACCCAGCCGATACCCTGTTCTGAAAAATAACTGTATTCCCCCTGAACACCCATGCTCCAGTGTCATCCCCTTCCCCACTTCCTGCCTTTTTGTGTTTACAACCCCTGTGTGAATGAGTATAAATTACAATTTGAAAAAATAAATAAATAAATTATATATTAAAAAAAAAAAAGAATGAGGGGCTGGGGCTGTTGGTAAAACTCAGTTGGTAAAACACTTACCCTGAAAACCTGAGTGCAGATGTGGGGATGAGGGGATCCCCAAAGCTTACTTGCCTGCAAGTCTGAGAGTCAGTGTGCTCCAAGAGAGTAAATCCAACACACCAGGGATTTGGGTGAGTGAACATGTCTCTAAAACTGAGGGACCTTGGGGTGGAACTCACAGGGAGGCCTGATGGCCTGAGCTCAGTCCCCAGAGCCCACAATGTGGCAGGACAGAACTGTCAAGTGATGAGTCCTCTGACCACCACACACTTAGTTCCACATATGTGGGACACAGAGAAATAAGGGGAAGACAATATCTGTCTCTGTCCTTCACATGTGTATCAATGCACACACAACATGTACACAAGGTGAGTACAGGGGAGCAGCGTCATAGCTCAAGTTCAAAATGTCTTTGTTTGATCCATTAGCAAACATGGGTCATATTGATCTAAGATTTCTTAGTGATTTTTTTGCATTAAAATTGACAATAGATCTTATGATAAAAATTTCCATATTAGGTATAACATAGTATAAATAACATAAATATTATGGAGAGATGGATTGGCAGTTAAGAGCTCTAGCTTTGTTCGTAGAGCACTCAGTTTTGATTGCTAGCACCCACATGGCAGCTCACAACTGTGTATAACTCCAGTACCAAAGGACTCAGAACTCAATTTCTAGGACATGATGCATAGAAAATACACAGTAGCAAAATACTTCTATCTATAAATCTATAAAATTTAAGCATAAACAAAGAAATAAAATGATTGTAATTTCTTTAACTAAATCATGTTATGGTATCTAAAACTGTGCTTTAAAAGAGACAATGGAAAAGTATTTATAAACTAACTGAAGTGTATGTTTTGCTTTCCTTATAGAAGGCCTAGGAGATGCTGTCTTAAAGTATGAGTGTCTCATATACCTAGGAGCCTAAAGCAGTGAAAAAGAGCCAACACATGACCTCTCCCCTCCCAGCATGTATCCCATAAAATACAGGATGTCCATGCTTCACTCCACAGACCCAAGAAGGCTGGACAGAAAGAAGGGCACAGGAAAGGATGTTTGATTCTATGGTATGGTCTTGGAAGGCAGATGGATGGAGGGAACTGGTTGGGAAAGGAGATAAAAAGGGAGAGGGGGTTTTAGGATTCAGTGTGGGGAGGGGTGGGGGCCATGATGATGAATGGAAATCTGCAACTGATAGGGGTGGTAAGGGAGAAGGCAAGTTGAGGAAGAGATGGAGAGCTGGGATAGGGGAGGCACACAGGAATCAGTGTGGGTGTGCTTAGCTGTGACTCACAGCATTGGGGATATGGAGCCTGAGGAGGCTGCCTCTTCTGGCTAGGCAGGAACCCCAGTGAGGCAATAGTGACATCAACCCACCCACAAAACTTTCAACCCAAGACTTTTTCCTGTTTACAAGAAATGCAGGAACAAGGGATGGAGTGGAGACTGAGGGGAATGGCCATCCAGTAACTGACCCAACTTGAGACCCCTCCCATGGACAAGCAACAATCCCTGAGACTATTAATGATACTCTCTTATGCTTGCAGACAGGAGTCTAGCACATGCTGTCCTATGAGAGGATCCACCCTGCAGCTGACTTAGTCACATGTAGACACCACAGCTTAACACTGGATGGAGCTTGGAGACTCTTATGGAAGAGTAAGAAGGATGGCAGTCCCTAAGGGGATAGAAACTTCACATGAAGAACAACAGAATCAACTAACATGGAACCTTAGGGCTCTCAGAGAGTGAACCACCAATCAAAGAACACACACAGGCTGGCCCTAAGCCTCCATGCCCATAGGTAACAGATGTGCAGCTTGGTCTTCCTGTGGGCCCCAAACAACTGGAGCGGGAGCTATCTGAAAAGCTGTTGCTTGTAAGTGGGATATGTTCTTCTAGCTGGACTTCCTTGTCTGAACTCAGTGGAGTGGAAGCACCTAGCCTCACAGAGACTTCATGTTTGAGTGTGGAGAAATAATCAGGCGGCCCCCACCCACTCAGAGGACAAGGGGAGGGTAACAAGGGGGAAGGATGTGGGAGAGACTGACTGGGAGTGGGCAGTAAGCAAGATGTAAACAACGAAAAATAAAAATACATATAAATGAATTTTTTTCCAGAAAATGTAACATGACACAACTGAGACTCCAATAAAACAATACATTCTTACTGTAGTCTACTATCAGATAAAATATTTTACTTTAAAATTTATATATAATACAAAATTCGTCCTTACACGCAGTGTCTTGATTTAGCAGTATGTCCTGACCCCTCCTTCAAGGGTCTACTGATCAGCTGCAGCAACTAGAAGAAAACTGGCCCTTTAAGTTGGGAATCTTCATTCTCTTCTATACCTACTATCCTTAGGTTTGGTCTTCTCATTGTGTCCTGGATTTCCTGGACGTTTTGGGTTAGGAGTTTTTTGCATTTTGGATTTTCTTTGACAGTTATGACGTTAGAAGTGTGTGTGTATCTCTGTGTGTGTGTGTGTGTGTGTGTGTGTGTGTGTGTGTTTCCCTTCTGTTGGTTTTTCTAGTTTGAGATTATCTCCTGTGTTTTCCTAAGTGTAACTAAACTTTCCTTGGATTAAAACTTTGCTTTTAGTATCTTCTGTAGGGCTGGATTCGTGGGTAGATACTGTTTAAATTTGATTTTATTTATCATGAAATATCTTGTTTTCTCCATCTATAGTGATTGAGTTTTGCTGGGCATAGTAGTTTGGATTGGCATCTGTGGTCTCTCGGAGTCTACAGGACATCTTCTCAGGTCATTCTGGTTTTTAGAGTCTCTGTTAAGTCAAGTGTAGGGGTTGGTGACTGTGTTGCGACTGGCAGCTGGGCTGGGCCCGGGAGACACGGTGGGGACCGGCGAGGGGACTGTAGGGGTCTGCAGGCGCTGCTTCGGCGCCGTGCGTGCTCGGTGGGACTTGGCCGCCAGGACCTGGAGCACGGCGGGCACGCGGCAGTCCAGCCCGGGAGCTGCGGGCAGAAAGACCAAGAGCTCTGACCCGAGCTGCGGAGCGAGTTCTGGGCCTGTCCTGAGATATACTGGGTGTTCGGTTCCAGTGTTGGCTACAGAGAGGGGTCAGGGCCAGCTGAAAAGTTTGCCTAGGTTAGACCTGGTCTTTAAAAAAACCTGAAAATGTGTGTCGTGGTGCAGTGCTCTCACTTGAGCACTAGAGAATAGATGCCAACATGCAGATCTTTGTGAAGACCCTGACGGGCAAGACCATAACTCTTGAGATCGAGCCCAGTGACACCATCGAGAAAGGCAAGGCCAAGATCCAAGACATGGAAGGCATCCCACCTGACCAGCAGAGGCTGATATTCACAGGTAAACAGCTGGAGAATGGCCACATCCTGTCCGACTACAACATCCAGAAAGAGTCCACTTTGCACCTGGTGCTGCGCTTGTGCGGTGGCATCATTGAGCCATCCCTTCGTCAACTTGCCCAGAAGTACAACGGTGACAAGATGATCTGCCTCAAGTGCTACACAGGCCTGCACCCCCATGCAGTCAATTGCCACAAGAAGTGAGGCCATACCAACAACCTGCTCCCTAAGAAGAAGGTCAAATAAAACTGGGGCCATACCTAGCCTGTGACCCCGGGACCAAATAAAGTCCCCCTTCCATCGACTGGA